TGACACTCAGCCAGAAGGCAAGGAGGAGAGTGGTAGGGGCAAAAGTGGCTTTAAGAGATATTTTGTGCTGCCTCAGCTCTGGGGATTACCCATCTGAGAGGAATTCAGAAGTGTGCTGTGAATATTTATGTGGGAAGTAGATGGTGCCTGTGACTAGTGCCCACAGGAAACACAGGAAAAAGTGGAAACCTGTGGATGTTATTATCAGCAGTGCTACAGAACAGCCTACACCATCACACACCTGTTTGGCAGCTGGCTTTGTGAGCATACTACTCTCACCAGCATTTAAACCACCTGTAATCTCACCTTGGCCTTTAGGTTTTGGTCCGTGCTCATACACAGCTAAAACCATCTAATTATCCTGGGCTGTCTGCTAATGAATTATCCTTGCAAATTCCCCTACTAACAGTCCCACCTGTTTGCATTATTCTGGAACTATGCAACATACTGTGCTACATATTTTTCCCAAACCTGCCAGAGCGCTCTGTAACATATAGCCAGGCCTCTCACCTTCTTCACGCCTCTCATCTTCCAAAAGTATGTATGGCAGGCTATTTCCTCTCACATGTGTAATCAGCAGCATTACCCTTACTTGCACACTTCACTAAGGGAAAAAGCTTGTTTTATGGCTTCTTGCGTTTCCTTATCAATTGCCTGAAGCATGGCTCAGTCTGGTACAAGAGCTTGTTTACGAGGGGAAAGCAAGAATATCTCACTTTCTCTGTGGTGCCCACAATGTTGTTTTTTTCAGACAAACATATTTCTGTGAATTATCTAACTAAGGTCTGCTGTGACCTGCAGGCTTGCAGTCCGTGTTACCAACCAAGGATAAGATACTACACACACACTCTACATATGTTTGCATGTTTTTTTTCCTAAATCATGTATTTTATAGGTGTGGCTAACAGCAGGCCAAGTACAAATGCAGATGTGACCATTTATTTGATCTTCTGTGCTGCAAAGTGAACCGTTAACCAAATTCTCAACACTGTCGTTCCTATGGTGTGCGGCAATGCTGCAGCACTATCCACACAAGCTCCCCAAGCACTACACACCAGAGTGCATGTTCCAGTGTAGGGATGGGTGGTGCCTTTGTGACTTGCCTCAGGTCCTCCAGGCGGCTGTGCTGGATGCAGGAGTGACATCCTCTGAATCCCTGTCACCATTCCAGGCCCACTGCATCGCCATGCCTCCACTGTGGGCTACTCCACTCCAGCCGTCTCCAGCACCTTGCATATTTGATATCACATTATGCATGTAAAAAAATTCTGCACCTACATGCAAGTGACTGTGTTTCATAGATCTTGGTAAGTGCCAACAGGCAGGGACTAATCAAAAGTGCTCTGCTTTCATTTTCTACTTTGAATGGGACAAAAATCTGATATCCCAAGAAAAGCAAAAAAAACAAATAGGAAAGAATAAAAAATACAAGAACATAACCTAATTACTGATCCCAGTTTGACCCTGGGATACTTACTGATTATAGCGTTTTCAACCCCTGTTAGCACAACACTTGCCTGACATCGAAGGTTTCCAACAGAAGAGTACTGCTAATGTTCCTTGGATTCATTTTCACGTTTGGCACATTTTAAACCTTTTCTAATTTCTATCTACTGCAGACAGAAATCAATAATGGCAATGCTGATCCTTCTAAGGTAGTTATGCAGTAGTAGCAATCCAAGAAAAAAAAATCCTTGTCACTTCATGCTCCCTGTTGGCCAAATATATAAGGAATCAGTGTCTTCAAACACACGTCTGCAAATCATCTACACAGAGTATTTTTCAGGTTCTCATCACAGCCTCAGCTTCCTGGAGCTGTGCTGGGAACCACAAGACTGGTGTCATGGAGGGCCAAAAGGTACTGCTACAGGCACACTTTTGTAGGAATGGTATGGTGTGCAGGCTACCAGATCAGTCCCTGCATATGGTAGTCTCTCCTTGCCCTGCTGTCTCATCTGTTTCTGCTTCTAAAGTTTTTCCACTGGGGCTCTTCTGGCTCTAAGTGTTGTTTTAAAATCCAGGAAAATGAAAAATTAAGACAATAGTGTAAACGAAGGACTTTACAGCCCCCTGAGCTCTCTGCTTCCTCTCACACTGCTTGTGAATGCTGCTTCTGTAGTACTTGTGGTTGAGACCTGACCACAAGAAGTCCTAAAACCTGAAGGCGGTGTTACAAGCCTGAAAAACCTGTCCAAAACCTTAGCAAAAAGCATCAAGTTAGACGCAAATGGTGTTTGTGTCAACTTGTTCACACAGCAACATTTCTACTGAATTCACTGGGGGAAATGTTTGGTCAGGACAGAAAGCAGGAGTACTTATCCCAGTGTCACACAAATTTGAGACTGTATACTCCACGTGAGAGATACCATGAAAGATCAAGGGAACAGGACAATGTGTTGAGGGTCTTCACTATATCCTTTCCTCTAAAATAGTACCAAGATCCTACCTTACACCCACAAAAATTTACTGCATCTTTTGCCCAAACACTTATCTGACCTAATATTGGCACAGACAGGTATATTCTTGCACAGATACTGTCACGTTTTACAGTAAACTGTTCTGAGGCCAGGTGTGGAATTAGAGGCAATGTTTAATATGGTCTGGAAGGTGTTTCTTTTTGATAAATGGGTATTGGTCAAAGAATACTCAGGGAATGTGAATAAAACCTGCTAGTCAACTGCTAGTTTTCATTGCAAGAGTAGATCTGTGAAACCCATAATGTTTAACTCAGTGCTACTGAAATCTGTAATAATCTGTGAAAGTGGAGTATCTTTATGGTGGCCATGAAAAAAGTAATTGTCACCATTTCAAGTTTATTTTTTAATCTGAATTTGGACAATATGGCATTTTTGCTGCATTTATGTTTTCTCTTTTTAAACTACAAAGACTTGCTTCCATGTTAACTAGCAGTGTGTCTTGCATCTTTCAGCCACGTATCCAGAATAATGGAGGCAAAAATTGTGACTGTGATTGACATATGTGTCTTGCTGTACTGGTTTGTGCAGTTACAGTCCCAACTCACACACATGCTCAGTTAGCTGCTTAAGAATAGGGACTTACAGTAACTACAAATAAAAAATGTAAAAATACAACATTTGAAAATGTAGCTTTTTAATTCTGATTAAAAATTTAATTCTGATTACTAATTTAGTCACTTAACTGTCATAGCTACCATAGTGAGCTGTAGAAACTAGAACTGAGAAAAATAAGTCATCACAAAAATTTAGAGCTTTAATGTGTCCATTATGCAATCAGTGCCAAAACTCTTAAACACTTCCAGTTGTAGCAATGCCAGCAATGACACACTTATGACAGACCAAGTGATTCTCTTTATTTGTGTATGGCAGTTTTGCTTTCGTGCACAAATATCCTTGCACTTGCTCATAGTATAGGTCAGCTTTGCCAGCCAGACATTTTCCTCATGCACCTAGGAACCTCTCTCTTTTCTGCAGGGCACACTTCCCTAGAGAACCTTCATTATATTGGTAATGCATTCTCATTTATCTGCCTCTGACTTATTTGAGGTTTTTGGAGTGCTGCTGAGAGTGGCTTGAGTTAGTAGACTCTTGGCCTTTACATGACAGGAGGAAGAAAAGCTCCTGACAGCTCCTGACAGCCTGAAGTAGGCAGCCAGTTTTTCGCAGAAGCCACAGAAAAGGCCAATGAAATGGAAGGCGTAAGAAAGTTCATCACACTTGACTGCTTTAATAACCAGTTACAGAAAAGGAGCATAGGAGCTGATAAATTAAAAACTCATGATGAAAAAGAAGTGGCAGAGACAGCTGCTGACTAAGGTCTTGAAGCCCCAGCATGACTGATGCTGCCAGTAGTGTGACCTATGCAGTGTGCCAGTTTCAAACACAAGCAGCTGCTGAGGTTGTTGATTGAATATACAAATGTGTACTAGGGAGAGCATCCAACTTTTTGCGGTGTTGAGGTTTGGCCAAGCCTAAAACTTTCTGTAATTTTGCCAGGGCACATTTCTGTCCTCTGCTTGCCAGATCTAAGAAGGAAGGTATTTTGGAAGACTGGGACTTGAACTTAGGACTATCGCCTTCAGCACATTCAAAATGATTTTAGGAAAACCCTTGAGGCTTAAGTAACACATTAGGAAATGTTTGTGTTTTACTGGCACACCTGCTATCTCTTTTTGTTTGTTTGTTTCAAGTACAGTTGTGGGAAACATTTCTTTTTCCTTTTATAACAGGAAAGGGAGATGAACAAGGAAAGAATTACAGAAGAGCCAAGAATGGGAGATGATGTGCAAATACATGAGGAAATTCTAGAGAATGAAAAAAAGAAGGAAAGAATTGGAGGAAAAAAGGAAGGAATAGGATGAATTAATAAGAGATCAGATTCAGATGTCATTTACAGAGTTATAAATCAGGAGAGAGTAAAGAACACTAAAATGATGTGCTCCTGTTCATTTGGGATCCTTGGATTTGTCACGTGGATTTGTTCAGGTTTTTTCATTTCCCTTTTGGTCTTCCACTTCACTTTTAGTGTGAAATCTAGACTTCAATCAGGGTTCAAATACAGGTTTATTTTCTTGAGAGATATAGGCTGTGTTTTACAGAAAGGAAAGGGAAGGAAATGGTAGTTTAGATGAGCAGATATTTCTGCAGACATTATGAATACAGCTTTCTTTTTTATTCCTACCATCTACATTCTCCTACAAACATTTACTAAAACTAAGCTACTGACTCCAGGCCTCTTTCTATATTTTGTGCTTTTAGTTTGTCTGGAGATGCCTTCTACACAGAACAAAACAGGAAAGCCAAGCTACCGTTCCTTGCCATCATGCCACCATGAAAAGTCCCTTCTACCTAAAGCACAGCTTTATGCAAAAATCAGTAAGGGTGAGTAGAATAGGCGCTCATCCGGGGAACAGAAAAGAACTGTCTAGTCTGGAGCTCCTCAACTTCTGGGACAAGTTAGGCACTGGCAGGACAACGTACTGGGGGACACTGACACTGAGCTACGGCTGCAGAGCAACAAACCTTTGTGTGTCCAGGCTGTCAGGTCTGCTAGCACTCCAGGACAGGTCTCACAGGGAGAAGTGATGATCACTCTCTGTCCTCGTCAAATGAAGGGGAGCTGATGGCACCAGCTGGGGCCAGATCAGATCATCCTGTAAAGAGGGATAGAGACAGCCAAAGGCTGAATGCAGGCTATGTTGCCTGTAGACCATAAAAGCTTGCTGTTGGTTTCTAGAAAGAAAAAATACAAAAGCTATGGCCTTAGTAGCTATCAGGTGCTTCTCAGATGACACCTGGTGGACAAAAACTAAAGAGATGAGAGCAGCCTGCCTTCACGGTGCAGAACTGTACCATCCCTGCTTGCATCTGCACTACTGCACTTACTGCTGATATACCTATCAGGTGCACTCCCTACTTTGCTTATCCCCACCAGAGTGCATTACTACAGCGCCCCAGAATAAGCACATATCATTCATCATCCATCAACCTGTAATAGCTTTTTTTTTTGCACCTGCTTCCATTTTTTTTCATATTCTGGCTGATGCCCTGAATTGGTTTAATTCTGACCTGTGAGTCTGAGGCTACACTAGAGTTAAGACATTGTTTTCAGAAATAAAAATACAAGGAAAGCCCATGTTGTTAGCAGCAATTGGGTGCTTTTATAGCCTAGGATACCTAGACAATTTTATAAATACCTTCACAAGTGGATAGTTGTACCCATAGGGTTAAAGGCTTTGTTTTCTTCTGATCATTAATTTACTCTTTTAAACTACTTCCAGTTTACTTCTCTAACACCGGCTGTCTTTTCTGCTTGACACTTTCCAACTGCCCTAATGCATTCTTGTTGACAACCCAGAGATAAAAAAACCCACTCTAAGTTCACCTGGAGCGAAACATCTGCTTAGAGAAGTCTTTCTTCTGGGGATCCGCATCCAGTGAGTGGGTACTTATGCCTCCTCGTAACCACCTGGTAGGTGGTTTCCTCAAGGATCTCATGGATGTGAATACAACATTACTGTGCAGTCCTTTTTCTCTATTTGGCTTGAAGGATTTCAGGAAAACGGGAGACATTGCTGAATCAACACTGTGACAGATGAGGCCTCTTCCATAAAGAAAAGTAGCTGTGATCAATTCTTTGATTGCTGGCATTGCATCTTCCAGGCTAACAGGTTTTTTTTCTGTTATTTGGGCTTTTTTGTTCTATGTATACCCAGTTCCTTTAAATTTTAACAGCTTTATTTTTTCTCAAGGTATTTCCATGCTTTACTTTTGTGCAAAATCTTGGAAGTTTTTATGAAGCAAAACACAGATGAAGTCAGGGATTTGCTAACTTCAAACACCAAACTAAGCTGAGAAAGAGAGTGTGGGAGAGGTCAGGATGTAATTACCCTATGTATTTATCTAGCTCGTTTCTTCTGGATCTAGATTACCTGTTTACAAAAAGTACACAGAGGCCACCCAAGACTTATGGCATTGTATTTGGTCTGGCTGGGATGGAGTTAACATTCCCCACTGCAGTCCACATAGAGCTGTGCTTTGTGTTTGTAGCTAGAATGGTGTGGATAACACACCACTGTTTGGGCTACTGCTGATCAGTGCTCCTACAGCATCAGGGCTGTCTCTCCAACATCCCCCACAAAGGCCAGTGGGCTGGGGGTGGGCAAGAGGTTGCGAAGGGACACAGCCAGGACAGCTGACCCAAACTGACGAAAGGGACATTCCATATCACATGTCATGCTCTGCAATAAAAGCTAAGAGAAAGCGGGGGGAGGCATTCATTATTAAGGTGTTTGTCTTCTAAAGCAACCACTACACATACTGGGGCCCTACTTCTCAGGAAGTGGCTGGGTGGGAAGTAGAGAATAAATCTGTTTGCTTTCCTTTGCTTCCGAGCGCGGCCTTTGCTTTTATTCATTAAACTGCCTTTATCTCAACCCATGAGTTTTTCATCTTACTCTCTCCCCCTGTCCTGCTGAGGAGGGGAGCGATAGAGCAGCTTGGTGGGCACCTGGTGTCCAGCCAGGGTCAAACCCACCACAGGCATATCCTGGCTTAAATGAGTCCTGCTCCACAGAGGGAATGAAGTAACGTCCTGGCCCAGCTGAAAGCCAGGGCTCATCTTTATATCAGCATCACAACTTGATGCCTGCCCCCCCCAGTGCTTAGAGCCAGAACTAGCCAAGCCTAGCTCTGCTCCGATACCAGAAATGCCTCTGCACATGGTTTCCAGGGCATCTTTGTAAAGTCCTCAGGATTCTGAGTAACTCACGAGTAAAGTGTGTGGCAAACAATAACATAGATTGACCATCCAGAAATTGGTGAACTACTGAACAGCACCTGAATTACACAATGACCAGAGCCACCTTGTTAAAATGCTTGCTGGAAACAGGTGCTTGCTGGGGAGCAATCCCTGACCAGTTATCACTTTGCTGATCCTAGTAACAGAAACCTTGGAAGGGCTTACAGTCACCAAAGGAAAACAAATACAAACATGTTCTAGAAGACACATTTTTTTCTCTTACATCCAATAGTGAAGGACAAGACAAAGACGACTTTGAAACACTACTGTGGAGAGAATACTTTTACAAGCCGCTTCAGGTAGCAATCTGTGAGAACAATCATCCGTAATTTATGCTGATGATTATTTTCAGCTTTTGAAATGTTCTCCTTTACTTGTTAATTCCTATTCAGCAAATACAAAGAAATCAAATGTAAGCAGAGTCATAAAATGTAAAGAGGAAAAATGTATCAGGAAAGTGCTCTTAAAAACATCAATTAGGCAATAAAATGTCTTCAGCTTAGGCCATTTAGTTAGCATCTCTGGACGCTTTTGTGTTCTGCAGCTGGGAAAACACCACTTTGTAAACTCTCTTTAGCTAACAAAGCCACTGCATGAGTAGATTATTTCTATTCTGCAGAAATGTTAACTGGCAACTCATTAAGAGTTTGATTGGTATATGCAAGTGAAAAACAAGATCTTGAGAGTCCCAAAAATGTATTGAATACTGCGAAACTCTCTATTTTCTGCCAGGATAATGAGGATATACTCTGGTCTTCCTGAAGAAAGCAATCAATACAAAACCTTAAATCCCGACATAAATGAAAGCAGAGCCGGTAACAAGCGTGCTCCGTGAGTTGAGAAAGGAAAAGAAGTGTTAAATCATATATGCAAGACAGTTAATCAGGCATAGTCAAATTACAACCGTACATGGCTCTTTCCAATTTACA